TGGTATCAGGGCAATACTGGCATCAAAGAATAATTAGAAAGTGTTCTCCCACTTTTTTTTCCTTTTTTGTATGCTTGGGAAGGATTGATATTAATTCTTCATTATACACTTAATAGGATTCACCAGTGAAGCCATTAGGTTCTGGGCTTTTCTGTGGTGGAAGTTTTTTATTGTTGACTATATTGCCTATGCTGTACTTTTTTTATAACTAGAAGTTTGCACCTCCTGACCCCCTTCATCTATTTTGCTCATCCCCGCCCACCTCCCCTCTGGCAACTACCAGTTATTCATATGTAAGAATCTGTGTTTTTGTTTGTTCATTTGGTTTCGTTTTTAGATTTCATATTTAAGAGAAATCATGTGGTATTTGTCTTTCTCTGATTTATTTCACTTAGCAGATACCCTTTAGGTCCATCCATGTTGTCACAGAGGGCAAGATCTTTCTTCTTTATGGATGTATAATATTCCATTTCATAAGTATTCCACATCTTCTTTATCCATTCATCTCTTGATGGATGCTTAGGTTGTTTCCATATCTTGGCTATTATAAATAATACTGTAATAAACATAGGGGTGCATGTATCTTTTTGAATTCGTGTTTTCATTTTCTTTGGGTAAATAGTAGTGGAATCACTGGATCATATGATATTTCTACTTTTAATTTTCTGAGGAACCTACATACTGTTTTCCACAGTGACTGCACCCATTTACATTCCCACCAACAGCACATGAGGGTTCCCCTTTCTCCACACCCTCACCAACACTTGTTATCTCTTGTCTTTTTTATATTAGCCATTCTGACAGGTGTAAGGTGAGATCTCATTACAGTTTTAATTTGCATTTTCCTGATGGTAAGTGGTGTCGAGCGTCTTTTCGTGTGTCTGTTCACTGTCTATAGGTCTTCTTTGGAAAAATGTCTATTCAGGTCCTCTGCCCATTTTTTAATCAGATTGGTTTTTTTGGTGTTGAGTTGTTTAAGTTCTTTATATATTTTGAGTATTAATCCCTTATTGGATATGTTATTTGCAAATATCTTCTCTCACTCACTAGGTCGCTTTTTGTTTTGTTGATTTTGATTTTTTTTTTTTTTTTTGGTGTAGTCTCAAGTTTATTTTTACTTTTTTTTTTAAAAAGATTTATTTATTTATTTTGAGAGAGTGAGAATGAGAGAGAGAGAGAGTACATGAGAGGGGGGAGGGTTAGAGGGAGAAGCAGACTCCTCGCTGAGCAGGGAGCCCTATGTGGGACTCGATCCCGGGACTCCAGGATCATGACCTGAGCCGAAGGCAGTCGCTTAACCGACTGAGCCACCCAGGTGCCCATCCAGTTTATTTTTACTTTTGTTTCTCTTGCCTGAAGAGACATATCCATAAATATGTTCCTAAGGCCAATATCCAAGAGATTGCTGCTTATGCTTTCTTTTAGGAGTTTTATGGTCTCAGGTCTCACATTTAGGTCTTTAATCCATTTGAGTTTATTTTTGTGAATGATATAGGACAGTGGTCCAGTTTTATTCTTTTGCATGTAGCTGTCCAGTTTTCACAACACCATTTATTGAAAACACTGTCTTTTCCCCATTGTATATTCTTGCCTCCTTTGTCATAGATTAATTTCTGGTTTATTTCTGGGCTCTCTGTTCTGTTCCATTGATCTGTGTATCTCTGTATCTGTTTTTGTGTCAGTGCAATACTGTTTTGATTACTGTAGCTTTGTAGTGTATCTTGAAATCTGGAATTATGGTACCTCCAGTCTTGTTCTTATTTCTCAAGATTGCTTTGCCTATTTGATGTCTTTTGTAGTTCCATACAAATTTTAGTATGATTTGTTCTAGTTCTGTGAAAAATACTATTAGTTTTTTATAAGAATTGCACTGAATCTGTAGATGGCTTTGAGTATTATGGACATTTTAATAATATTAATCCTTCCAATCCATGAGCAAGGTCTATCTTTCCATGTGTTTATATCATCTTCAATTTCTTTCATCAATGTCTTACTGTTTTCAGAGAATAGATCTTTCACTTCCTTGATTAAATTTATTCCCAGGTATTTTCTTCTTTCTGGTGCAACTGTTTTCTTAATTTCTCTTTCTGATACTTCATTATTAGTTTAGAGAAATGCAACAGATCTCTGTGTATTGAGTTTGTATGCTGTGACTTTACTGAATTCATTTATCAGTTCTAATGTGTTTTGGTGGGGTCTTTAGGGTTTTCTCTATATAGTATCATATTTTCTACAAATGCTAAGCGTTTTGCTTCTCTCTTACCCATCTGAACACCTTTTATTTCTTTTTATTGTCTGGTTGCTGCAGCTAGGATGTTCATTACTATGTTGAATAAAAGTGATGAGAATGAACATCCTTGTCTTGCTCCTGATCTTAGAGAAAAAGCCTTCAGTTTTTCACCATTTAGTATGATGTTAGCTGTAGGTTTTTCATGTATGGCCTTTATTGTATATATTATATATATGCATGTATGTATATATTTTATATATGTATATATGTATATTATGTATATTCCCTCTAAACTTACTTTGTTGAGAGTTTTTATCATCAACAGATACTATATTTTATCAAATGCTTTTTCTACAGCTATTGAAATTATATGGTTTAGGACTTTTTTGATTACTGATGGAAGTTTTTTGATTACTGATACAGTCTTTTTCTTTACGTCTATTTAGATTTTTTTTTAAAGATTTTATTTATTTATTTATTTGAGAGAGAGAGAATGGGAGATAGCACAAGAGGGAAGAGGGTCAGAGGGAGAAGCAGACTCCCTGCTGAGCAGGGAGCCCGATGCGGGACTTGATCCCAGGACTCCAGGACCATGACCTGAGCCGAAGGCAGTCGCTTAACCAACTGAGCCACCCAGGCGCCCCTCTATTTAGATTTTTTATGACTTATTCAATCAGTTTTTGTTGTTTGTCTCTACTCCCATATTTATTAGTTCCTTCTTCTGCTTACCTTGGGTTTAGTTTGTTTCCTTTTTTCTAGTACCTCAATGTAGAAGTTTACGTTATTGATTTGAGATCTTTCTCTTGCATATGGGCTATATGTTCTTGTTTCTTTGTATGCCTTAGAATATTTTTGTTGAAACCTAGACATTTTGAATATTATAATGTGGCAACTCTAGAGATCAGATTCTACCCCTTCTCCACAGGTTTGTTGTGGTTACTTTTTTGTAGTTGTTGTTTGTGTTTTTGTTGAGTGACCATTCTGAACTAATTCTGTAGTCTCTGTTCTTTATTATGTGTGACCATTAAGGTCTCTGCTCCTTTAGCTAAGTGGTCAGCTAATGACTAGATAACTACTCCTGAAAGTCCTTGAACCAGAATATCTCCCAGTCTTTGTAGAGGGGCTTCGAGTTGTGTTGAGGCATTTCTTCAGAGTCAACCAGGCAGTTTGCCACTCTGCCTTAGCGATCACAATCACATACTGCTTGCTCAAAGCCTCAGGGTCAGCTAGAGGCCTTCTCATGTCTTTCCTGAGCGTGCACATGCATGTGCATGAACTTCTGAATTCCCAGGAGTATGTCTGAGCTTTTTAAACTCTTAATCCCCCAAACATCTCCTTCTCCAGACTTTCCTCCAAGTTTTTTGTTTAATCTACTATTTGCCCTGTTATCCATTGCTTCAGACAGCAACAACTGAGACATTTGCCTGTAAACGTTTTCCACAAGTGGCTTCAGGTAACAACTTTAGTACTAGGTGCTTTCCCAGTTTGGTGAAACAAAGACAAGCCTTTTGGGCCAGTCTTTCCAGGGAGCCACCCAGACGAGACAAAATAAAGAATTCAATATATTCTGCTCCCTCTGGTACTATTACTAAGAATGTAAGCTGTTATTTTCAAGACTACAGCTGAGCTGGAGAGCAGTGGATGACACTAGGGTAAGTTAAGATGCCACAAAGCTCACTATTCTTGCCAAGATCCAGCTGATTTCCTTGAGTAAGTACTTTCTTGGTTGCTGCAAGCTTTGTTGGTTTCCAGAGTTCTAAAATAGTTGGTTCTAATAGATTTTGACTGTTTTAATACTGATTTTATGGATTAGGGAGAGTTTCAGAGTTCCTTACTTCACCATTTTTGCTGACATCACTATAGTATTTTCTTTTTTCATTAGGATTTAATGGCTTTAATGGTTAAGTTAAGTTTAAGGGATTGCAGTAGGGTTAGTTTTAAACATAAGGGAAATATTAGGGGCCCGTTGTATGACTGAAAACTGTCAAACCTGTACCCGAAATGGGATATTTGTGCTTTGTTATGTGTAGTCTTCTAAATGCTTCCTAAAACTTGAAATTAATTTTGGCTCTTGTGCAAATGTATAGCAGTCAAAAAGTCAGAGAGAAGTATAATACAGCAAAGGAGAATCTAAAAATGGAGGGGGCAAGGGGCGCCTGGGTGGCTCAGTTGGTTAAGTGTCCGATCTTGATTTCAGCTCAGGTCATGATCTCAGGGTTGTAAGATCAAGCCCCGCGGTGCTGGGCATGGCACCTGCTTAAGATTCTCTCTCTCCCTGTCCCTCTGCCCCTCCCCCACTCTTAAAACACACACATAATAAAAATGGGGGAAAATAGAAACCAAGCACTGATATGTAAATGAAGACACATTCTTTAGATGTCTACCCCAGTACCTGTAGGAAGATATAATGATAGGAAAAGACAAGCTTGGAGAAATTTGACTCATTTACAGTGAGGGTAGAGGAGAAGCTTATAAGGAGGTAGAGAGGAAGCCCAGTGCTGTCAGTAGGCTGCAAGCTGGGGAGCCCAAATAGCACCATAACCATGAACATCAAGTTAGTAACCTTGTTCGTATCACTGGCATGGTGCTAGAGCCATTTTTTAAAATTTAAAACTGAAATATTTTTCTTTACATAGCCACACATATTTAAAGGGGCATACATTTTAAAATTATATTCTGTCATTTTAAAACCAAATTATGTTGGTTCTTTCTGTTTGTTTTTGGTGGTGGTGGTGTATGTGTGTGTGTGTTTTGTGGGTTTTTTTGGTAGCAAGGAGCTGTACCTCCAGCCAGTTCGGTTCCTCCTGTTGCCGGGGCCCCGTCTGTTGGACAGCCTGGAGCAGGGTTTGGAATGGTGAGTGGCCACCTGTGCTAGAAATTGTAATTGACATTTCTGAGGCCTTTGCCAAATCCCAGATTAACAAATACAGCTACAGAATATAATTCTTCCCCAAATGCTGTAATGTATAACTTAAAAAATTAAGTCATCTGTGTTAGACATTAAGAAGTCTACACATGACATGATAAAGTCAGCTATAAAATACTTAAATTCTGTCATCAAAATAATTTCTGTAGCATATAGTTTTGTCATTTTGGGAGTAATATTTACCAAACACGTTCTTAGCTCAATCATCAAAATCAACTCTTAATCACTGTACTCAGACTTTCCACTTACCACTTTTATCACTAGCAAATTTTAGGGCCAGAGTCCATAAATAAACAAGGTTTTATCTCTTCAGAATTATGCTCACAGAAGACAAATAATCACCAGCAAAGCCTGGTTGGGAGAAGGATGCCACATAGCCAGCCAGGCTTCTACTATACCTCAGTGATTCTCTGCCCTCTGTCAGCCTCACAGCACCCATCATTCAAAATTACAAGTTATACTTTCTCACAGACCTGCTTTCCTCACAGATTTTTCAGAAACATTGAAGACTTAAGTGTCAGGCATTCCCATAGTGGATTCCACTCATGCTGTGAACTGCTCTTCCTTTTCAGCCCCCTGCTGGGACGGGCATGCCCATGATGCCTCAGCAGCCAGTCATGTTTGCACAGCCCATGATGAGGCCACCCTTTGGAGCTGCAGCTGTACCTGGCACACAGGTCCGTTTTTTTTTTAATGTCCTTAAAATAATGACATTGTAAGTATAAAACTGCCATGTGGCAAACTCTTTAAAAATGTTTTTACCTAAGATAATTCTCATATCTGTTTCTGCAGAAGTAAAGGAGGAGGACCCCTGGTGGCTCAGATGGTTAAGCTTCTGCCTTCAGCTCAGGTCATGATCCCAGGGTCCTGGGATTGAGTCCGCATCGGGCTCCCCGCTCAGCAGAGGGAGGCTGCTTCTCCCTCTGCCTATCTCTCTCTCTCTCATTCTCATGAATAAATAAATAAATAAAATCTTTAAAAAAAAAAAAGTAAAGGGTGAACATGGGAGACAGATTAGCAATAGTGTGAGGTTTGGAGGAAAATGATAGAAGTAACTCACTCTCCTAAGTCCCTCCATTCCTCTCCTACTTAATTCAGAATAGTTCCTGAGGACAACTAGACATTTAACGTATCTGTGCATTTATTTCAGAAAAATGAGTACTTCTGATCCATAGTTTTATCATGTGTTCCCAGAACTAGCTAAACTCAAGGTTAGGGACACCCTCCTCCAGGCTGCCAGTTGTGCCCAAGAATTGTGAGGCTAACAGCAACGGGTTTGCCAAACTGCAGAGTCTAAGGGAGCAGTCCCTACAAGACTACGTGCACCTCAGACACCAGCCACAGTTTGGGAGTCCAAGAGCTACCCCTTCACTTCAGACCAGCTGCCTACAGATTTGAAGGTTCTCAATATCTTAGAACAACTTACAGAACTCAGGAAAGCATGAAATTTATTGCAGTTTTATTATAGTGAAAGGATACAAATTAGATCTAGCCAAAAGAAGAGATGTATAGGGTGAAGTCTGGAACTAGGAGGGTTCTAATAAGCATGATGCTTTTTTGTCCTCGAGGATGTGTTACTCACCTGACATCAATGTGTAGCAATATACGTGCAGTGATGCCAACCCAGGAAGCTCACCTGCACTTCAGTGTGCAGAGTTTTTCTTGAAGTTGCCTTATGTAGGAATGATTGATTGAATTATTGCACATGTGGTTGAACTCACTCTCCAACCCCCCCAACTTCACTCAAAGTCAGGGTGATATCATGTTCCCCCAAGACCTGATGCTCTCATCACATTGTTGGTCTTTCTGGTTGGCTAGTCCCCACCCTCGGTCCTCTTGTTAACATAAACTATCAGGTGTGGTTCCAAGAACCCACCTTGAATAACAAAGGCATTCCTGTTACTCAGGAAATTCCGAGGGTTTAGAGGTTGCCTACCAGGATCCAGGACAGAGGACAAACCTCCCTTTAGATGAGGCCAAATTTCTTACTACCAAGATGGTAAAACACATACACTCTGTTGAAATGTTTTGCTGCCAATAGTGATAGTCATGTTGATGAGTAACCAGTTCTTGATTCCTTTTGTATATTGCCTGGCCAAGGTGGAGGTATAGGTTTTTACCATGAGAAACTGACATGGATGGAGTCAGAACACCACGTTATGACTTTACTAGCACCGTGCCCAGCAGACCAAAACAAAAAGCTCAAATATATTACAATGGTATCAGTAAATGGTTTCACTTCTATAATATTTTTTTAAAGATTTATTTTTTATTTTGAGAGGAGGGAGGAGGGGGAGGGGCAGAGGGAAAGAATCTCAAATAGACCACCTGCTGCACAGGACTCAATCTCCCAACCCCGAGATCATGACCTCAGCTGAAATCAAGAGTCATATGCTCAACCGACTGAGCCACCCAGGTGCCCCACTTCTGTGATATTTTAACTCACCAAATGGATGTTTATATTGTTATCCATACGATTCCTACTTTGAACTTTCTGAGTATACTTTAATCCCTTTTGCTTCCTTTAATCATCTCCAAAATCTATTGTCTGCCTCTTCCGAAATTTCACTTTCAGCTTCTTTAACCCTTCAAAAGCCACAGTGACCAGAAGAGAGAATGGTGGGTGTTCAAAGAGATAAATTTAGAATGTGAGAAATCCTAGCCTTCAAGGCTATACTCAGAGCACTGGCTTCATGAGTAATTTTCTAGTCTGCTCTGAGACTAATGAACTCTGCCTCATATTGTTTCTGAGGGGAGTGAGGAAGGTTTTGGGGGTAGTAGTTGGGCTTAAATTTAATCTAGACATATTTAAATTCCAAGAAGGATCTCATTTATTATGAATGTTTCCTTGATGGTTGAATACATCTATGATTATTTAACACCTTTTTGAAAAAAGGCAGGACATTTCTATTTTTATTAACTTGGAAGAATAATCTTAAGATTTTAAAAATCTTATTGTATTTTATGTGCTAAAAGCTTTAGAAATAAATTAACACAATTTTATTAAAGTAGCTGTTTTTCTTGCATGATACCAGTGTTACATAGCATCAGTTTACTTAATTCAAAGAATAAAAAATAGATAATATGATGAAAATAGTGTTTTAATCATTTAATTGAATTTATAGTGATTTAGGAAATGGTATGCCATATTTATAAAAGGTTTAGATTGTAGGGGCACCTGGGTGGCTCAGTCAGTTAAGTATCTGACTCTTGATTTGGGCTCAGGTCCTGATCTCAGGGTTGTGAGATCAAGCCCTGTGTCAGGTCACACTCTGCCCTGGGTGCGGAGCCTACTTAAGATTCTCTCTCTCTCCCTTTCTCTCTGACCCTCCCTCCCTCTCTAAAAACAAAACAAAACAAAACACAACTGTTTTATATTTCCTTTATCAGAGAAGCAGCAGAGGTGATTATACCTAAATAGTAAAATAAATATGATTTTATAAGTTCAGAAAACAAAATACTGTTTTCCCTTACTGATTCCTGGACTGTTCCACTATGTCTCAATTGGTTGGTATCATCCTTCATGATGTTGTTATCTCACCAAATTATTAACGATGAATCAACTCTTACATTTCTCTTTTTTTTTAAGATTTTATTTATTTGTCAGAGAGAAAGAAAGGGAGAAAGAGAGCGGGAGAGCAAGAGCACGGGGAGCAGCAGGCAGAGGGAGAGGGAGAAGCAGGCTCCCCACTGAGCAGGGAGCCTGATGTGGGGCTCAATCCCAAGACCCTGAGATCATGACCTGAGCCGAAGGCAGATGCTTAACAGACTGAGCCACCCAGGCGCCCCTCAACTTTTGAGTTTCTTACCTTCCAAACAGCTTCAACCCTTGCATTTATCTTTTCTGATCTTTCTATGAAGAATGATTCCTGTTTTAAAAAATGGAAATTTGATTGATAGGTAATGCAGTCAGTCAATAGTTTCTAGACATAGGAACAAATCTAAAAATCTTTATTTCTGGAGCTTTATTTACCAAACCAATGAAAACATACATCTCTACCCCCATAATCCCAGATTTTTGAGATTTCTTCCAGGCACAAGCATAAGAGAAGAATTAGACTCAAAGAATCCATGTCAATTATTACTCTATACAGATCACATGACCTTTTTCAAGGCTTCATAGCCTAACACTCCTGCAAAAGCCTGCTTCCGCTTATGTCTGTCACACAGTGAAATAATTTAGGTATTAATTAAACAGAAACAAGGTAAGTTAATTCTTTGTTGCTTTTGCTAGTAAGTGCAATATGGTTCTTTCCTATAGCATTTAGTAATTAGTCTTCTCTACAAGCTGGACTGGCAATATTGGAATTTTATGACATTCACACCTGGGAAACTCTTTTCCATCTGAAACAAACAGTGCCCCCAGACTTGACTGGTTTTCATTTAAAATACTTCATGTGAAATTCTACTATATTTAGCTAATAATTTAAAGTAATTTCTTAAGTGACTTTCTGCAAGTTATTTCCTTTTAGTTTTTCCCTCAAACTCACTCTCACTATAAGGAAAAGTCATTAAAATACCTTTATTAGTTTAGTGGTACTAATAACTCGAAGTAAAAATGCTTTTGTGTAGAGCAATTGATTGTTGTGTTATTGTATTCTATATTCATAATATCTGAATGTGACTGGTTTTCTACATCTTCCCTAACTCATATCCATATGGTTGTACCAGAGTCCTCAAATATTACTTTGGCTAAATCTGATGTCAGAGAATTTCAAGAAAGCCAAAGATCATTTGAAGTGTACTTTATGAAACCAAAATTAAACAACACTGTGGCTAAGTAGAACGAAGTAGATTTTGTAAACCTTTAGCCATCTGATCTTCTGCATGTTTGTTTTCTGTGGTATGTGCTCTGCTTAATGCTTACCTGTCTCTCTGTTTGATTTCTGTTTCTGCTGTCTTGGGCTGGCTTTTCCCCACTAGCTTTCTCCAAGCCCTACACCTGCCACTCAGAGTCCCAAGAAACCTCCAGCAAAGGACCCATTAGCGGATCTTAACATCAAGGATTTCTTGTAAACAATTTAAGGTATCTAATATTGAGCTTTTCCTGTGGGCTTATAATAATGACCTTGTAATGCTTAGCTATTTCAGGTATGATATTTGTACTTCTGTTCTTTGAACACATGTAAATAATAATAACAACAACTTGAGTGTTTTTACTTTTTAAATCAGTATTAAAAGCTGTCAATGAATTATCAATAAATTTTTTTAAATCTTGATTAATTTACAAAACTAAGAGAAAAGCCTCCAAGTTGTCCTGAGAAGCACAAAGATTTTACTGATAAAGCAAAAAGTTGCCCAAGCTACTTGGTAAATTAGAAAATTACCACTTTATTACCTGATGACAGGAATTTATAGAAAGCTAACATCTATTACATTGCATTTAGAAACCATCTAAGAATATACTTGGCTACAAAATTGTATTTTTTTATTTGTTTATCCTTACTTGGCCTCATCAAATAAAGCTTAGATTGTTACCCTTTGCAACTTCTGCACTTAAGCAGAATTTTAAATTTCTAACATTCTAGTTTTAAATTTCTGATGTGATTTATGACATGATTAATAATGGACTTATGGAAGGAAACTGATAAAGGAAAAAAGTTTACTACTAACCCCAGCACCTAACACAGTGGGTAGATTCTCAACAAGTACTTGCAGAAGGGGGTTATACAATAATAATGCTGCTTTTCCTTTACACAGTACTTTTCATCCCCACTTCCTAGTCATGAACTCCTTTGGTCGTCTCAGTGGGAAATCAAACCCTGTGACGTAAACTAGACAGATACTTTTTGTCTCCATCTCGCAGCTAAAGGAACTGATCCTTGGCATTGAGTATTTGCTCAAGGTCACACACTGGAGGGAAGAGTACGAGTGTCAAAGTTATGGGACCACTGTCCAATGTAATTTTTATTATGCATCATACATCCTATACATAAATATATTCTTAAACTTTACTGCATACTAAGATTTTTGTGGATTCCTACTTTATGATTTGTTTTTTCTTATACAAGGTTAATGAGTTTATCATTTTGAGGCTTTGACATCTCAGTCAAGTAATTCCTCCTTGTACCTGACTTTTCTATTCCATGTTGGGTTGGACTGGGTTGGTGTAGGCATAAGTGAGACAATGAGCACTTCTTAGCTACTGAAGGTTCAGGGCTGACTAAGGATACTTCGGGGAGCATCCCTTTATCCACCTCTCATTCAGTAAATATGCTGTCCTGGTGTGCCAGGAGCTCTGAGAAGCACCTGAAGCAGAGATGCTTGAGATAGCGCTCAGAGGTTCACAGTCAAAAGGGAGACAGACACAGACTAATTTATGAAAAAGAGTTCCTCACGTGGCTAAGCCTTCACCCCAGGCAGATTCCCTGGCAGGGATGACTGGTGAAGCAGGGACTGGTGTTCCTGGGGACAGAGGAGGGGGAGTGACGTTCCCAAAGAGGCAGTGTCACCACGGATTATCTCCCTCCTCCTCTCTTCTGTTACTTGTTCAACCGTTGAGTGACTCACTGAACACCATAACTAGAAAAAAAAAAGCCAAAAATAATGAAAATTGCTGTCATTCCTTCCCCCCATCTGCCCTTTTTAAAAGGCGAACTGTTCTTATTTAATAGTAAATGTCTCACTACTGAGATTTCTAGTAAGTATCCACATTTCAAAATTTTGCTGCTACGATTTTTATCTAAAATGAAACTTTACGTTAAAAGTTTTCCTAAAAATTTCTTCCCGGCTGAAACTTGAAGCAAAGAATCGTGAAAAGTGTATAAATGTGAATTTGTTATAAAGACACCTTTTGCATGAAGATTTTTCATAGTAACTGTGAGGTAAAAATGTGAGGGAGGTAATATGTTTGAGGAATGTGTCATATTGTTTTCTAATTCAAGTGCTTTTTATCTTTACAGCTGCGATTTTTGTGACTGAATAGGAAAAAATGAGTTTGGAGACTTCAAATAAAATTGATGCTCAGAGTTTCAAAGTGAGCCACCAGTACCAAACCCAATGCTTACTCGTAACTTCTCTTCCAAAATGTGTAGCACAGCTGTGAAAGTGAACATTAGGAATGTGTACTACCTTAGCTGTTATCCCTATCTCAAAATTGTAGTGTATTTGGGTTCTTTGTGTGTTGTACGATGTAAAAACAATGAATGGATGTTTCTGATGCCTTTAGTGCTTTTCTGGACCTCGCCCATGGACGGATGATGCAGCTGTTGTGTGGTGAGCCAGTTGGAAAGATGTGTCTGTGTCTTTGAGGGTTTTGATGTATATATGACTTTTGGACAAACCTAAACTCTCCCCATAAATTCTCTGTATCTCTGTTACAAACATGGTGTGATAATATCAAATAGTAAGGAAAACACTCTTAAATATACAAAACTTCTTTGGTGTGGAGTACATTTTTCCAATCACAGGAACTTCAACTGTTGTGAGAAATGTTTATTTTTGTGGCACTCTATATGTTAAGAAATTTTGTTTTAAAAAATATATAAGGGTAAACGTCCATAATAAATATTTCTCCTTGAAGCTACCTTATCAAGAATGAAAAAATCATATGGAAAGAATTCCATATTTAATCACTGCTATATTAAAATGTATATTTTGATTATATTTGACAGGTTTTGCATCTAAATTGACCTACCTATTTATTCATTCTTGATTAAATGCACTGAAAAGTAAAGGGTCCGTTTCTATCCTGTCCGTGAAAATGCAATTAGAGATGTGCTATTCAAATGATTATGAAGACACCCCAAGGTATATGTGTAATTTAAAGATTACTGCAAATATTTTTATTTTATTGTGGGTTTTATGTACATCTGTTAATTTAGTATTTCTTTGTGTGTTCTGTAGACTAGTGTTCTTCCATGCCTCAATTGAGCTCAAAGTAGGTTTTGTTGTACCATTGTGATTAGAATTGAAACTAATTCAGAGAATTGTATCCTTTACTGTACATACTGTATTCTTTAATTTTTAATTTGTTGTCATACTGTATGTGCTGATGGCTTGGCTTAAGATTTTGATGCATAAATGAGGTCACTGTTGATCAGTGTTGCTAGTGGCTTGGCAGCTCTTTGTAAAAGCATATTGGGTTGGAAAGGTGTTTGCCTATTTTTCAAATTATTTAATAGATGTATGGTACCATTTAAAAGTGGTTGTATCTGAATTTACTGTGGGGATAACATACACTGTAATGGGGGAAAATTACCTAAAACCAATTTCAAAATGGCATTTCTTTCTATTTCAGTTTAAAACCCAGTGCATGTACGCCCTCTGAGATGCAATAAACACCTTGAACAAAGAAATGCAAACATAATCTTTCTCTTTTCGATTATTTTTAGAGAAAATGTCTGTTTCAAATGACACACAGCATATACAAAATATTGAAAATTTAAAAAACATTCACAGTGAGAAATGCTGTTCATGCCAACATAGTTCTGATTATTTTACAGTAAGTTAAAAATAAGGGGGAGAAACGAACACTTTAATTAGCTGTCATTAAACTTGGGACTCTGGTTGCTGTCAGATAAACTGAAATTCCATATTTCAAAAAAGAAAAGGATGAACTTTCTTTTAAATTATGCAACTCCTATAATAGTTTTGTGAGAATTCTCCATGAAAGTTGAAGAATAATAAGACTTTAGATTATAGTATAAACACACACCTGCCTGCCCATAAACTCAGACACACAAACCTAGAAAACGGGCTGACTTTATGCCTATAACTCGATTGTGACCATGACTCAAAAAGTAGTCCAATCTCAAATAGAAGTATTTCTCAGCTACAAGCATATCCTTATTTCTAAAACTCTCTTGCCCTTCACTAACTAGGATTTGTATCTTGAGAACTAACTTTCAGAAGCTAGTATCTGATTATGTATTATGATTTTTGTAGATTACATTTTGGTCATATATTACTCTGTAGGCATATTGTTACAGAAATGTATTTTAGACTTTAAGTAATTTTCAGTTTAATACTGTATTTTTTAATAAGCTTTTTCTCTTCATTGAATGGCCCATTCAGTGGTATAAATTCTCAATAGGTGAAACTGCAAGAGCATTATTTTTAAATCTGACACTTGAACCTTGCTGCATTGAGGTTCTTGGTGGTCCTTGTACAATTGTCACATAGATGAGATGCTGAATGAGGTTCTCTGGGCACTTAAAAAATGAGTCTCTCTGGATAATTTTCAACACAGGTCCAGTTTAGCCATGATATTCTTCCACACGTGAGCCTGCCTCTCTAGCCTCACCTCCAGCTCAGCCCCGTCCTCTGCATGCATGAGGATGTGGGCACAGGCACACTGTTCTCTGCATTACCACACCACTCCTGAGGCAAGGGGACACCAAGCACTTTGCTGGCTCACACAGGGCCCTCTGCCTGACATGACCTCACCAGCTCCAGCAGTGCAGCTAAATCCTACTTGTCTGTCATGGCTCTCCACCCTACTCTTATCAACCCTTATGGCACTTAACATATTATATTATAATCATCTGTGACACTGGCATCCTCTGGCCCGTTGTGAGCCTCAAAGGCAGGAAAAATCTCCTGTTCATACCCTCAGGAACTAGCACGTCAGTGGGTGCCGGGTAAGTGTTTGGGATGAACACAAGTATACTAGTTCTTAGAGGTGTCCTCACCTACCTGGACACTGCTGAGCTAATACCATATTTCTAATTCCTGAAGAATAATGCTCCTATGGACATTTATTGTCAAATGTTAGAGTTTTAATAGCTGTCAGCTCATCCTAACAGAAGAACTAATATCGATTAAAAACTCGAGTTGAAGATTTTGAGTCACTTTTTATTTGGTATAATGGTTACAAGTGGTTCTCTCTATATTAAGTGTCTCCTTTGTTTGCTTTTGTGTTATTTGTTGTACTTTAAAGAAAAAGAATAAAGACCAAAGACTTTTTTGGAGGAGTCGTGGGGTTTGCAAGAGGAGGAAAGGAATACAACATAAAAAGAGAAATGGAAAGTCACAGAAAGATAAATTGTGTGAAGGCCTCCTTCTGCCTCTTAGGTAGACAGCTTTAATAATATAGCCCCAAATTTTTGTTGGCGGAAGAGGGGCATGCTCTGGTGGCAGTGATTATCATAGTGTTTTTTGTGTGGAAGTACTGGTTCAAAATAAAAATCAGGGTCATCTTAGTTGAAAAGTCACACTGGTCTCTATTTTCAAGGCAGTGGGTTTTGTGGTAGTTTATTGTTAATCCTCTTGGGCTTTAAGAAAATTTCAGTTTCTCATAGCCTTGCTGACAGATTTCACTACTGCACACGTTATCCGGATCCCCTCTGTGAGAGGAAACACGAGGGAGCTGTGTGTGAGTTAGTGATATGGTCATTAACCTTAGCTAACGCCTCAAAACAGCAACGCTGCATCACCTGAGTTCATTTCCGCGCATGCATGCTCAGACAGTTCTGAGACAGAAAGGGCTTCTATAACTGACTCTGTAATAGGTGCCCTACAACTCATTTACAGACGACGGGTCTTCAAACTGGTTTTGCTCTGCACCTTTGCACTTGTTTTTGAGGCCCTCAAAAAGCTCTCATTTATATGGGTTATATCTGTCAATGCTTACTATGTTAGAGATTAAAATTGAGAAACTTTCAAATGTCTTTAATTCATTTAAAAATAAAAATATTAAGGGCCACTTGGGTGGCTCCATCGGTTGAGCGTCTGACTCTTGATTTCGGCTCAGGTCGTGATCTCCGGGTTGTGAGAACAAGCCCTGCATCGGGCTCCGCGCTAAGGGGGGGTCAGCTTGAGATTCTCTCCTCTGTGGCCCCACCCACCGCTCGCTTACTCTGTCTCTCTCAAAAAAAAAAACACAATTCAATACAGAGCTGGGGGATGAGTGTGTCAGCTGGAAAGGGTGTCCGGGCACAAAACCCACCAGAGTTCGACTCAGTTGCCTAGAGAATCCTTCTTAGAGTTTCCAATACCTAATGATACTTTTTAAGAACATAAATGGAAGACGATGACATGATAAATGCTTTATAATAGAATTAAGTCTATCTGGAGACCAAGAAGTTTAATAAATATACTTTGACAGTGATTTAAAAAAAAAAGCTAGAAGAACTATTTTGTGATGATTGGAGATGGAAGATACTGTCGAAGTTAAATATAACTAGAAGGAACACGACATGTGCAGGTGGTAGCCATCAGGGCTGAGAGAGCAAGACAATTTGGATTAAAAGCCTATGGCTGCAAGGGATGGTAGCCTGCAACAGAAGCCAGGCCTGCAGAAAGCAGCACCCAGAAGGGTCAGGACCTAGAAGGGTACCTTCCCAGCCAGGCGAGGGGTACACAATCATCTTTTCATGATGGTCTCCTCTGCTGTTAACCCAATCTTAAGTACTAGATTCATCTCCAACCCACCCAAACATCCCATGGTTCATTTCTCTCTTTCAGAGTAGAGAACATCTCTGGGGTAAGTCAACTAATTTCATAATTTATAAACAGGAAGTAAACTTTACAGCCTGAAAAGACTTAAAAGTATATCCCAAGGAAATTTGGAGTTGTTTTTTAAACTCTCTGCTATTTTGGATCACGTGGATTTGGCACTCTATTGAAAACAGGAAATGGAGTTGTGACCGTGTACGAAATATTTCAGATGTAAATTCAGGGCCAGATTTTTAGAACACCTATCCCTTCTCAGGGAAAATCAAAGCTATGTCTTCAAAGCTAAATTAAAAGGAGCATTTAGTTTTTAGAACAGAGACAAAGGTGTGGTTGCTATGTGATTGGGTTCAGAATAAGATATAGCTAAATGACTTACTGGGTGGTTATGTGTTAACTAAGGATTAGTTCACTAAAAAAACCATGTATGTTTGTTACCTAACTCTCTTGGCATTGCATTCTTTGTGTATGGATGTTCTCAACCTTACTGATAAATAGTCTACAAAAATGTTAAACATACATGTCTAAAAATGAACTCAATCTTTTTCCTCAAGTCTAGTTTTCTGTCTTGCTTGGTGGTCTCACCATCTACCTAGGCTCCCAAGGCTCCCACCTGTGTGACATGACACCCTCAATTCTCTCCTGCATTCAGTGGGCTACTGAATATACTGAACATTCTGCCTGACTTGCCCTCTCCTGCCATTCCCACTACCACTTCCTTAGCACAGCAGCTCCAGCGGCCTCTACACAGGGCTCTTTGCCTCTAGTCTAATCCCCACCCAAACCCCCCTGAATCCAGCCTAAAGGGTATTGCCAGGTTTCCTTCCCCAAATGCCCATCTGATCACATTTCTCTAACTTAAAAACCTGCATCAATTCCTGGTCAACTAAAGGTTAAACTCAAAACTCTCTAACATTGCATTCAAGTCCAAAAATCTTTTCAAGGCTCTAAGTCTAGCTTGGTAACCTCATTTCTTGCCATTCCTCACCAGTAGGAGGTGCTAATCTCCTATAGCAACAATCCTTAAATACTCACGGTAGCCTAAACACACCACTTACATACTTTTGCACCCTTCCCATGGATGCCCTCCTCTCCCCCAAGTTCCCCACTGATAGGTTGGAAAACCTCAACTTATCCTTCAAAACCCAACCTAGGCATCACCTCCTCTAAGAAATATTTCTTTATCATATCTGCCCACCCTGAGAGTCAATCCTTCTCAACTGTGTTCCTTCAGCACCTTATACTGAACCTTTTCCACACTATTTTTTTATATGTCTGACTTCCTTAGTATGTTATGAATTCTTTGAGGAAGGGTAGAATCTAGGACTTCACTCTATATCCTGTGTGCCTAAGATTGGACTCAATAAAAGTTTGTTGAATTAAATTGATCTAACCTACTTTGTGAAATGGATTATAAATAAAAAAATATATATAGTATCTAATTTTCAGGAAGTATGTAAAATTGGATTTTGTCACAAATTGTAAAATGATTGCATATGCTCAAGAGTTTTGTAAATTTGACTCATTTCTTACCATCATAAAACAGTATTATAACAATGTTATTGCAAAAATGTATTTCCACTTTAGAAAAATACTGAAAAGAATACTCTGTATGTATTTGATCGTTTACCACCACTTTCATTACCAGAGTCCTTGAGGTAGCTTACAAGAACATGTATAAAGGCAACTGAAGCCGAGAAAACATTCACCCTGGAAGAAAAAGACAAACATCATCATTGTGCACAGAGGGAGAGCTCTGGAAGGTGGAAGAACAATTCATTTAGGAAACACACTATGACAGAGGTTCCCACACCTGGATGATCATCCAGTACTTGGAGAGCTTTATCAAATATAGACCTCTGGGCCTCACTCTGGCAGATTCCAGGGTAGATCTCAGGGAGACCCTGGAAACAG